CCGGTGTAATAAAGAATTGCTTTTGGAATTATTCTAGCTCTTAAGAAGTGGCCTATTTCAAAGTCTGTTGCCAAAATCTATAGTAGAAAATTACTTGATAAAATACACATTTGCTAAGATATTTCTATATTAAAACATACCCCTTGAGTTTCTTCATCCATTTCATCTTTATCTTCTGGAACATCGGGTGGGTTGAAGAAATTGAAAAATGAGTCATTGGGTACTTGTTTCACTATATTACGGACTGTTCCGCGCTCCTTATGCTTTTGTTTTTTTCTGATTGTTTTTATGGTAAGATTCATTTTCTTTTCCCAGTTGATATTACAACCCTAAAAATTGACCGTCAATACGAGTAATAATAACTACAAATAGATACAGACTTTGCACTTATAAATTTCTGGTCCTTCAAAACCGAATGGATTGTCTTCATCGACCATAGCTTTTAAAAAATATTGTTTGGTAAGAACTTCATTTGAAAAGTACTCATTTTTATCAAAATAAAATTCCAAGGTGTAGGAATGCTAAAAATATAGGTGATTCGTTAAAGCTTAAAATAAACATATATTATTTTTCATCCACCTCATCATCATATTTAATTTTGATATCCGTTAGTTTCTTTAGAACAGGTTCATCGTGTTCTTGTACCATATCACCCAATAACTCAGTATTGCGAAATATCGTATACCAGAAGTTTGGAATTCCTTTTGTATCCTCGGGTATTTCCCTTATTTTTCTGAAATGTATATAGTTAAGCTGGTGCCTTAAATTTTTGAAAGGGTATATTCTCTTACTTAATCATATCTTGAAATTCAGGTGATGTTTCAGAGTCCTCCAAATCGTCAGATTTCCATTGAGGATTTTGTTCTGAAGGCTCTACTTGACCTGTAACAATATCTTTCCTTTTGTCAAATAGTGGCTGATATTTTTCCTGGTATTTTCGTTCTAGTTTATACACTTCTTCAAAGAACTCAGCTTCTAGTTTAAGGTGTTCAAGTTGTATATTTTTAAGTGCAACTACCCTATTTTGTATCGGTGCAGGTAAATTCTTTACCATCTCTTGTAAAAACTGACGCCGAAATAAAGCACCCATGCATCCAAATGGTCTAAAATATGAATTTTATAAATGTAAATATAATGCCATACCGCACTTTTTTATATCTGAAAAATTTCGCTGCCAAATCTATTA